AAATTTTGTGGGGAGTATCCCAGTACCTTAAGGATGTTAGAAAAAATATGAAATCTGTTGCTTGGCACTTTTAACTAAGGTTTTCTATTTATGCCTTTTTAAGTAATTATGCCTTGTCATTTTTGTGTAGGCTATTCTACTTATCCAAATGCCATGAAAATTTTATGGTAGTTTACTTAGAGTAGTACTATACTACTGTAATTTTATCAGATTTTTATGAACACCAGAAATATATGTTGCTGTGTAGCCCTAGTTTAAAATGAAACCAAATGATCTTCTTTAATGCGAGTTTAGTTAATAATGTTCTCTTTGGTGTGTCTTTGTAGCATCTTAGTTTGCGGTGGTGATTTGGCATGTTAGTACAGTGGTTGTCGTAGTAGATAGTAGTATATGTTCTTGGATGACGTTGACTAACTTGTAGAAGAGCTTTGCTACTACTATGTCCAATGAAGTTAAACATGGTCATCTACATTTCATGCATCATGATCATTACATGTCATCTCTCCGATGCACCTATGCATTAGCACTTATACATCTGCATCATACAGGATCGCAGGAGGAGTTGCTAGTAGTAGTTCAGGAAGAGCAAACCGGGATAGATCCACAAGAAGTCCGGGCACAGGAGGTGCTAGAGGAAGAGGAGCAACGAGAGGACTTGCCGGAGTGCATGGATCACCAACCTAGTTCATTCGAATGAGGCAAGCCCTAGAGCATTCTAAGTCTCCTACTTTATAAAAGCAATTCTTTCTATATATATGAGTTTATATATTGTTGCATTAAGTTGTAGGAGTTGATTGAAACCGTTGATGCATTTATTACTATCTTTGCCTATCTTATTACCTTTTACCCTGTTAGGTCAGGATCGAATAACTGCTTAGCCTTGCTTAGACCGGTAGCGATCGGTGATACCCGGTCACCTACATTATAGGTGGTTACTGGAAGAGATTGGTTATGGAAAGAATGATATCCTGGAATTAACCATATGTGATGGAAAATTGGAGACCGGACGAAATAGTTGGAGGCAATCAAACAGGGTTTTGGGGTGCTGTTAGTTTCCGTCTGTGTCGATTAAGGACCGATCGTTGCTCGTCCCTCTTGTCATGTTGAACGCATGCCTCATATTTAGTTGGCCGAATAAAGTACCTTTCGACCGTGAAGCTAGTGGCACTATTCGGGCCAGGATCTACACGAGTGCGCGTATTGGTGTTGATGGAGGTATGACAGGGGCACGAAGAGTGAGCCCAAGGGTAGGTGTGACCTGATTCCTGACAGTCGGGCGGTCCCTGGGTACTGCGGCTCTAGATTATCCCGCGGCTACCTAAAAAGTGTCATTTATGATCTAAGCTACCCTGGCAGGGGAAGCATGGTTTGTGTGAGGAATAAATCACCAGCTGGTTAGGAATCGATTCGAATCGTCATCGCTCCTGGATAGTGAGCACTTGACTCGAGCTACGGCATCGTAGTAATTATTATGGAACAAATGATGGTTATCTGGATGATGTGAGTTATGCTAAGGCTAAATTGGTAACTGGATGTTATTGGTTAATCATGTGATTGCTATAGTACAGGTGCTTACCTAGATGGATAGGTTATAATAAAGATGATGCAAAGTACTTAAAATGGTTTATTCATGATAACTTATGCTTTCACAAAAGAGTCAGCTAGCCCACTAAAGAAAGCCTTGCATAATCTTTGGTATCGTTTTATTTTGGTTTAAGACGGGTAAGTCTAGCTGAGTACCTTCTCGTACTCAGGGCGTTGTTTCCCATTGTTGTTGCAGATGGCCAAACGTACTACGGCTATTGCATTAACTGCATGTACCCGGCGATGGGTGACAACTAGGACCAAGGGCAAATGATCACTCCGTATTTCTCATCTGATGCTTTTGTTGGAAATGACTACCTACTGGCACTGTATCTGAATCAAAAGTGTGTGTGTGGCTTTAAAACTATTTGCTTCCGCTATTTCAGTTCGAACTTGGTATGTAATAACTTTATGTTCTAAACTCTGATGTATCAACTGTCGTTGCGAACTTTATGTAACGTGTGACGGTACTTGCTAAACTTGTACGATCTTGGTTTGTATGTCGATTGGTTTGAAATCCTTCGTGGTTTCACGGACTACCGGGTTATATGGGCTTAAGTTAGCTAAATTGTCTGCTTCGGCGGAAGATTTTTCTTACTTAATCTCGTATAATTGGTCGGTTCTGTTACAGGCCCGAAGTGGCGTATTCTCTTAGACTTTTCTAGTTATCCAATAGACAAACAATAAAACAAATTATGACCGCTGCAATGGCTCTTCACAACTTCATTAGAGATAGCGCCATACATTATGCATATTTCGAGAACTATAACGAAAAGATGGTGCTCAGACTACTGAACACACAACAAATGTTAGAAAGGGGTTCAATAGATTACTCGATATGGGTGCTTTGCGTGATTGTATTGCAGCCGCTTTGGTAGCATAAGTTCGTTTTAATTAGCTTTGTATTTTGTCTTGTACGCCATGCTGTGACTATGGTAAGGGTCCGTTTGGTTTGGCTTTCTAGGTGATGTGGCTTCCAAAAAAAAGCCATAAGCCAAACCAAAGGGGGTACCCATACTCCTTGGCTTCCAGAGAAAGCTGCTTTTGTGTAGTTCATTTTTCACAGCAGGGGAGGAGGTGCTTTCTTGAGCTTTGGCTTTCACAAGTTGGAAGAAAATACCCACTGCCACGGGTTATGTTGTACCAGTTCGCTTCTTTTCTTTTCTTTTCCGTCTCCCTCACCTGCCGCTCTCCCCTACCCAGCACCATTCCTCCTCCTCCGGCGACGGCGCCCCTCCTCCTCCGGTGGTGGCGCCCCCTCTCTACGGTGTCCCTCCTCCCTTCTCCTATCGAGCCGCCGGAGGTCATCTTTTCCCTACGCCGGCCCACCATGGGTAGAGGCCGGGCGAGCTCGGGAGCTCCCCGGTCTGGGGCCTCGGGCTACTAGGGACCAAGGGGAAGGTAGGAGGATCAAGGGGAGGGCGCGGGCATCCCGTTCTAGTGGTTGGGGAAGGGAGAGGGGAAGGGTGAGGCGCGGCCACTGGGGTCAGTGGCGCTGCCTTCCTCGGTGCGGTGTGCTGCTCCGGTGAGAGGAGGAAGGAGGAGGGGTCAAGGGTGGAGATAGGGTGGAGGTGCGTGAGGGCCAGGAGCTCGGCCTCGCGGTTGCGGCGCTCGACCTCGCGCTCCATGGAGGAGAGCACCTCCTTGGTCTAGCCCGCGACCCAGTGCGCCTGGAGGAAGATCTATGAGCCTAGAGGAAGAAGAAGATAATGACGAGTGGGGTCCGCGTGTCAGTGAGAGAGGAAGAGAGTTCAGTGGGGGTGGACTGTGAATGACATGTGGGTCCGCTCGTAAGTGTTTTCAAAAAGCCACAGTTGTTTCACCAAACGGCTTTCAGTTTTCTCATAGCCCACAGCTCACAACAGATTTTTCCACAGCCCACAGCTCACAGCTACTTTTGCAAAAGCCACGACTCAACCAAGCACACCCTAAACTTACTTGGCTGTTGGCTTGATCATTAGCAATCTCCCTTTCTGTTGCATTAACCAATGTATATGTGCGTTTGCTCCAAATATGAAGACTAATATATTTTTTAAGTAGAAAATGATGGAACTATTAGCCCAAAGGTAAAAAAACCTAGTTCATAATGCAGTAGATATCTATTCATCAACTAATCAAGACACCGTCAGCTCTACGAACATTCATGACATTATATATAGACAATTTCCTCCAGAACAATCAGGATCGCCAAATATATGCTTCTTTAGCTAACAGATTCATCATACCGACAACCAGTTTCCTATAAAAGCCCAAATAAGCTATTCCATACAGGCATACTTCCTCTATCTAAAAAATTATAAATCTTATTTTTCAAAAAGTCAAACGTATCAAGTTTGACTAAATATATATAAAATATTATTAGACTAAATATATAATATACTCCTTCCGTCCAATAATATTTGGACGTCTTGTTCAAAAAATTTCTCATAATATGTACACACGTGGTTACCAGAGGCATGCACTTCTAGGCTGTCAGATGTACCAGCCGGTGGGACCAGAGAAAAAACAATCGACTTGTGTCAAAGACAAAAAAAAAAAACCCCTCGGTCTGGACAACAAGTTCGGCATAGTACTACGGAGTACTATGGACTCTGGAGGTTTCCAGGACCCTCATCCATCGTCAACGTGTGTAAAAAAAAAGAAAAGAAATAGTAGACGATGCTTAGGGGGTGTTTTGCTGACTAAAACTTAGAATGTGTCACGTGAGAGTGTCATATAGGATATTCGTATACTAATAAAAAAATAAATTACAAAATCCATCGGTACTCTACGAGATGAATTTATTAAGCCTAATTAATTCATCATTAGCATATGTTTACTGTAGCAATATATTATCAAATCATGGATTAATTAAGTTTAAAAGATTCGTCTCGCAAATTAGTCGTAAGCTATTTAATTAGTTTCATAGTTAATCTATATTTAATACTCCATGCATGTATCAAACGTCCGAAACGACAGCGACTAGGGGAAAAACCAACCCTTTTTACCGTGCTCCATAGCTTCCTTCCGCCTCCACGCAGCACCACCGTACCTCTGCACCTGGTTGACATCTATAGGGGTATTTTGATAATTTTGATCCGTTTTGGTTCCTGTGCCAGATCATAGAAATACAAATAATTTTAGACGGAGCAATAGTTTTATAATAAATATATTTTGGAATATAAATATTTATATTTCCGATAATTTTGGTTAAATTTAAGATTATTTGGCTTTTCGTAAAACAAGAATTTTGTTGTCGTTGTCGTTGTTGTAGCGTGTGCTGGAGACTTCGCTTCCTTCGCAACGACTCCATCGCAAGCAGTATTTAACACCGACTCGGCAGATGGCGCGCAGTACATACAGACAGCGGAGCCTTTGGACTCGGTAATCGTCGCCACCGTGCTGTACCCCCGCGACCAACCACAGTCCCTCGATCTATGGGTGTGGAGGAGGAGCACGACGGCGAGGAGCAGCGCCGCCCCCTCCTCTCCTCCCCCCCGCCAGGTAGGTTCCGCTCCATTCGCCGCCGCTGTCGTCAACGCCGACGCGGCATTCAAATCGTCTGCTCCCGATCCCATCCCGTCAGGCCCGTCCCATCATCTGACTCATCTGTGGGGACCTCGTTTCTGCAGCCGCGGCGGACCAGCACCAGCAGCAGTACCAGTTCCTGGGCCGGAGCAGCTCTTCAGTGCTGCGCGGCGGTGGCGGGGGCTGGGAAGGGCCCGAGGTGAGCGCCGACGAGGTCAGGTCCGCCGCCGCCGCCGGCTTCTACACGCCCCAGGCTCCGCCTCCCCACGGCGACCACGCCTACGCTTACCCGCCGTCCATCCACAGCGCCGTGCTCTCCCCGTCCCCATCTCACGCCCCATCGTCTCCGCATCCAAATGGTAAATCGCCGCCGGCGGTGCTCTGTTTCTCCCCCACCGGCCGCCACATAGTCGTCCTTTTTTCCTTCCGATTTTTCACCAACTGAAGGAGTTGTCGAAACTGTTGGTGTTGGGTTGCAGCTGCAGAAGGGTTGGCGATTGTTCCTCAAGGGCCATATCCGTACGGTGGCAGTTACCAACCTTCTGAGACCGTCGGGAGGTGAACTTTTTTTTTCCCCCAGTCGAAATGCGTGTTCGTCATATGTTATTTCTGCCTTTTGGTTGCAATCTGTGCGCAGCTCAGAAGTGCCAAGCTATAATTGAGGATGGTTAACTTCAATTTCTCATTTTTCATAATTGGCATTATCACTCAACATCTCAGTAATCCTGTTATCCTTCAAATCAATTTGATGTAACTGGATTCCCCATGAGCTCAGCAATACATCCTCTAGTAAAAATGGAGAACACCAGAACAGTGTTGTTAATAACAGATGTAAAAATATTTGATTCTTACAATAGACCATAAGTATGTGATCCATGCGGAGCTACAAACTTGTGTAGAGATGGAAGATTCCTTGACGATCTGAAATTTCTATGAAAATCATTTTTTCATTCACAACTGCTTAGAGGACTCAGGAAAAGGTCTCTGACTGCACCTCAGTACACCTGTAAATTCCATAATGATTAGAAAATATGAAATATTGGAAACACTAGCAATTCAGATGTTCTAGTTGCATGTCTCCCTTTAACAACCAGCTAACACATTTATGTACAACTTGCACCAGGACTTATGACAAAAGCTAAAAGGTCAATTTCTTATATTTGAAAGGAATTTAAAAATAACTGACCTAAATTAACCGACAGTAATTGAATTCTACAACCAGAGTTCTAGTAAATTCAAGTATACAGCAAGTAGTGACTGGAGTAGGAATAATCGGCCATGCAGTTGAAGGATGATGTGTTGATAAAAGAAGACTGAAGGCTCCAGGGAACTCACGTTATCAGTTGGCTTGATGGAGTACCTGAAGGCTAAAACTGTTAAATGGCGTCAAGAACAGGAGTTACCAGTTTTGCACTGAGCTTAAATAGATTAAATAACTACCGTCGTCTCCCCATTAAAAAACAAGTGCACTGTTGCTTCCCGCACATCATTTTCCCTTCCCTTGTGTCCTGTGATCCTGTCTTTTTGTTGGCACTACTGTTGTTCTATGCTGACAATGGAATGGTTGGATCTACTGATAGGGATGTACTGGATGAGGTGGAGATCCGACAGCTGCTCATTGACCATATTGGACATCATTTCTGTTGGGGAAGTCACCCTGCCCGCACATGGAAAATTACCTCCATTGAGGACTGCAATGTCTATGTTGGCACCTTGGAAACCTTCATCGAGGAAAGGCACATTATTACAAAAAAGGAACCCTATGAAAGTGGGAATATAGATGGAAGAGAAAAAGGTCCTTTGCTTGGATTGTGGGAACTAGATTTGAGGTCTAAGTTTCCTGCACTTTTTGTACCAGAGGAAGAAGTGATGGTCAAGATTCCACATTCAGATATTATTGAAAAATGCTCAGGTACTATGTGTATTTTGCTTTCAGTGCCCTCTGATTTTCCTTTAATGAGAGAATTAGATTTGTGCCACTATGTTATTTACGGTTATGATATTTGACATTGCTTTTGTAATAATTGGATTCATGACACCACTGTGTAAAAACCTGTTATCGTACCACTTGTAGTGGCAAGACTGTAACAAGTTTTGCCACTAAAGTTGATACAGCAGTGGCATAAACGAACGGCATGAGTCTCAATATTACAAAAGAGCAATGGAAAATATCGACACCGTAATTAACGCAGTGGCAGAAACCTAATTTTTCCTTTAACAAATTAAATACATTCATGTAGCAACTTAATTTACTTTGTAGGTTTATAGCCTTTTGATCCTGTATTTTGAATGCTTCTATGATGGAAATACCTTTCAGTTCATATCCTCACATATGAAGTCATAATAACTAACATGGGTGCATTTGGCCATAAACCTACTTACTTTTGCTGCTATTGTGCTATCTTTTGCCACCAACAGGCTGTAAGAACACATGCATGATACTAATCTTAAAATTGTTTTAAGTTAGGACACCTAGCTAAGTGTCCCTTTTTTCACATTGCACCTTAGCAAGTACCTTCTTCATAATTTTGTTGCTATGTATTTACACTTATTTTAATTCTAACATGGTAACTATTGTCACTCTTTTCATATTTCTCTTTCATTTTTTAAAAAGCTATTAGTTGTTTATTTTTTTTGACAGACTGTGAGGGTCGTGGAGAGAAACCATGCCCTACATGCAATGCTGGTCAGGAGCACGGGTTTTATAAAGCAAATCAGATGACCCGGTGTGGTGCATGTCATGGCCGAGGTTTACTTGCTCACCAAGATGGATCTGATACAATGTTAGTTGTTCTACTTCCTTTGCTACAGATACGGTTTTGTGATGGGTCTATATTGGTAGGTGTTGCGTAGATTGTAGGCACAGAGGTAGAAGGACGAGGGAATGGAAGGCAATGGCGGCCCGTGGTCGCCTGTATTCAAGGGGAGGCTGGCGATCTAGGGCAGATGCAGGGGTGGCAGTGACGCTAGGAGAGGGTAGGCGCAGGGTAGCTAGGATGCATAGAGCTTGAGGAACAATCCTCTATTTCTTGCTTTATCCATATGCGCACATGTCTCCTATATTTATACTCCCATGACTTGTTCCCTAAGAAAACTAGACGTAGAGTCCTTATAGGTTTGGACTCATCTTATCCTAAACAAGCTCTATCTTTCTTAATTTGAGTTTATTGTTTCCTATCTTATTCAAGCTCTAATTGGACGTGGATTCCTCTTTGGGAGGAGGGGCCGACCATCTAGGAGAGGTCGTCGCCCTCCTCAAGAGCTCGGCCTACCACTAACGGGCCCATTTGGACCCGTGACATCACTCCCCCATGACTTCTAGTGCGTCCATAATCCATCTAGAGGTGTCGTCGGGAGGAAGGGGAGCCGCCATCTATCATGTCTCCAAGTGCACTTGCAATTGCCCTACCACCATGGGCGAGAGATGGTTGTGGATTGTCACATCGAGGAGGTGGTAGCAAAGTGACCCAATGTAGCCATGAGAGATTGGAGTCGTCATATCGTGGCGAACAATTGATGTCCCCAAGGCATTGATGATCTCACGGGCAACACCCATCTTGACAAGTAGCATTGTTGTTGCCGGTGGGGGTTAGTTGATGGCTTACAACTCCTGGCTTTGCTTTGAAAGATGTAGCCTGGCATCCTAAGCACAAGGTAGTGCTCTGCAAGAGAGGTAGTGGTGATGTTGATGAGCTTGCCAAAGAAGATGTTGTCGTAGTTGTAGGTTGGTAACGAGATGGACAAGCAACATCTCATGTTATCAGGACCAAGGAAGACATTGTCAGTGGCGAGGAACTGTGTCCACTCTTGCGTTACCACAATGTTTGCTGGCAAGGTACGAGGTAGCATTGTCGTTGTCGTTGCGCCGCTGTGGTTGGTGTCAGCGATGAAGTGAAGCTCCGGTGCTTCCTAGACTGCCTTTCTGATGTATGTGAATACGGTGAGGCGGGATGAGACTATGCTAAAGGTGTTGTTGCATGGATGTTTGCCCATGTCGGCGAAGCGGGTTTAGTTGCATGTCTTAGGACAGTTTGTGGCGTTGGCCTACTGTGGACTCCTGTGAATGCCAAGGTGCAGTCATCTTTCTTGAAGCTCATCTAAAGTGTGGCAAATTTTCACAAGATGAGATTGAGGAATCCAACTAAGGTGTACCAAGGATGACGTATGTATCGACATTAAGAGCCACCAAGAAGGTGTGGATTTGTGGAGTGTCTCGTTGTCGATGTGGAGCGGTACATTGAAGTCTCGTCGTCGATGTGGATCAGCACATTGAAGGAGGTTCCATGGTACGAGACATGGCTACCATTGTCGATGATGATGGATGTCTCGATGCAGCATTTGGCGAGTCCTGAACCTAGATACGGGCGTCAATGATGTTATGTGTGGCGCCGGTGACGATGAAGATGTGGGCTCCATTGCGAAGGATGATGCCTACCAGGTACATGGTGCGCTAACCGCGTACACTTGGCTCCTGATCGTCGATGTCAGGTTGGGCTTGATGTCATTGTGGTCATAGTCATTCATGGCAATGTCGAATAGGTGTTTACACGTATGCCCTCTGGTGAACTGCTTGTCGCAGTTGAAGCACAGACGGACTCGATGTCATTTTGACATCTCCACTATGAGGCGCTTGAAGCTATGGGGTGGTGAAGTGATCGGGGTTGTTGTAATCGTCGTTGGAGCTGGAGTTGTTGGTGAGGTAGGTAGCGTCGGCCTGGACGTAGATTGTGGGCTGTGGCTATGCTGGTGCTCCAATGGTCACCAACTTGTCTAGTCAGCAACAACCAACCGTGTCGCTCGTATGCTCTAGCGAGGGACATGGATGTCTCTTTGTCCTTAGGGTTCTGTAGCTCAATGTCCATCTTCAGCAGTTCCATCAGTCCTGCTGTGTAGATGTTGACTACAAGCTCGCTGAGGGGTCCCGCACGTGCCACGTATGCAAGGAAGCGCTCAGTGTAATCATCAATGGGCCTATCTTGCACAACACTGCTAGCTTGCCGAGGGGGTTGCGCCGCGTTGGGGGACCGAAGTACTCGTTAACACCACAAGCGAAGTTGCCCCAGTCATAGATCACCTTGTCCTGAGCTAGGCGCATGTACCCCACCTTTTTGTTTTCGGAGATCCATTGTCCCCTAAAGAACTGCTCACAGCAGTTAAGCCACTGCAGCGACTTATCCTTGCTGTCGTAGGTGGGGAAGGTTAGTTTGTGGCAGCGTGGCTGTAGCACCAGGAAGTCCGACCCAGATGCCTCATTTGTTGGTGGTGGCGCGTCGATCTTAGGTGGCGTGGTGAACAGATTGTTTGTCACCTCCTGGATTATATTTGGGAGGCCAGAAGATGATGAGTTGTTTGCCTTCTCCTAGAAGAAGTCAAGGTCGAAGTCTTCCGTAACGCTCTTTGCCTTGACCTCGAGATCCTTGGACCTTGGTGGCGCGTTCGCGCTCCTTGGCCGCAGAAGCGGCAGCGTCTTTGGTGGACTTAGTGCCGCCTTGCACGATGGAGACGAGACACGTGTCGACATTGTCCCAGCGGCTTTGAAGCTCATTGAAGTGTTTGTTGGAGTCGATGATGAGTTTTCTCAAGTAGTGCCTTAATGTCGGCGGCATTCAAAGCGGTGGTGTTGTCACCGTCCATGGATACCTGGTCTGAGGATACTAGATGTGATAAGTCTTCTGAGGATACTAGATGTGATAGGTCTATATTGGTAGGCGGTAGGATGTGTATAGGGGCGGAGGGTAGTGGAGGCCAAACTGGGCCAACGCCCCCCCCCCCCCTTGCTTGACAGAAATTCAATGACCCATAAATCCCTAGAAGTCTAAACTACATGTATATTTAACATCTCACCATGATTTGACGCTGAAGTAAGCAATTTAGCCCCCTCTAATTCATGGGCCATGCTTCGCCACTGGATGTGTAGATTGTTGGGTAAGGAGGTAGAAGGATGGAGGATAGGAATGTGATGGGCGGCCTGTGGTCCCGTACACAAGGGGAGGCCAGTGACCTAGGGCTCATGCAGTGCAGGAGTAGGTCAGAGGGCAGGCGCATGGGAGCTAGGATGCCAGTGAGCTTGAGGAATAATAATCCTCTATTTCATGCTTGATCCATATGATTATGTGTCCCCTATATTTATACTCCCTATGACTTGTTCCCAGCGGCGGATCCAGGAAAAATTTTAGGGGGGCTGAACAAAAGTGCGACAGCTACATACCTCCGACTGCTGCTCGATCTTAAGTCTCAGCCCCACCTACACGATAGAACTTTGCCTAAAAATTCAGGGGGGGGCTCCAGGGCTCCAGTATCGGTAGGGGGGCTCGAGCGCCCCCCCCCCCACCCACCCACCGTTGAATCCGCCGCTGCTTGTTCCCTAAGCAAACTAGTGGTAGAATCCTTATAGATTTGGACTCTCCTTTTTTTTCTAAACAAGCTCTATCTTTTCTAATCTAAGTTTATTCTTTTGTATCTTGTTCAAAGTCTAATTGGATGTGCACTCCTCCTTGGGAGTTGGTGCTAGCCATCCAAGGGAGGCCGACACCCCCCACATGCTCTCGGCTAGGGCTAGGCTGGCTGTGGCCCTTCTCTGGTCCCCCATTGGGCCCACCACTACCAGGCCCGTTTGGACCCTGACAAGTTTGTAGTTCACCTCAAGTCCTTGAATATAGATCTCTTGATGAAGCCCATTTAGTGTCTGCATGTATCATAAATGCAGTGTTTGTGTCCTTTTGTTTTATTTAAGCTTATAAAAGATTGAATTTATTAATGTGGTATTGTTGCTTTTTTGTTTTGGTCGACATATCATTGTTTCAATAATTTATTGAAGGGTGCTAATTTATCTGTATTTGGTCATCCATATTGAGTATAATACAAAAAATTACCTGATATTGCATTAGATGTTCTTACGATGAACTAAAATTTGTTATTATGCTTATTTTATCTCAGCGTAGTACATAAACCCATATTACTTGTCACATATGTTCATTATGCTTCTATACACTTTTTTGTCACAGATGCGGAATGTGCAATGGTAAAGGAATGTTACCTTGTATAGCATGTGGATCACGTGGCTTGGTGACATGCGACACATGTACTGGATATGGTTCCCTCCTTGCACAAAGCATAGCTCATGTTCAATGGTAATCTTGAGCCCATTTTTCTAAGTTTTTATATCGGTTTCTGTTTCTAAGTTGAGGAAATTGTTGAACAACAGAAAAAAGCCAAAACATCTGAATGTGAAAATTGATGTTTAGTTTGATAATTTAAAAAGTCATTCTTACCGTTTAATAATCATGCAAACTTCTGGGGTAACAAACCTGTAGCAATCAGTTAGGAAGTTGCAGGTATTGTCAGCTGATGCTTTCTTTGTGAATATATGTTTAGTGTTACATCATAAAATATAATTTATTGAGAGTTTGAGACTCATTGGTGTTGAAGACTTGAAGCAACAAAATCGTTAGTCTTCCCATGCTCTATAACATGTCAAGTCAAATACCAACATATATTAACTGCAGAAAGATGCATGTGCACAATCTGGGAGGTTCAGTTAGAGAATTCCCAGTTGTCAGTTGTCAGTTGTCAGTTGTCACTCAGGTTGTTATCACTTAGCATGGATTATCCTTTTGTATATTTATTTTATTTAATTTAATGGTTTCAAGAAACTACTTCACATTGCTGTTACAGTAATCGCCTGATATATTGATCCAACTCGAACTATTCTGTTTCCAGGAAGACTCTTTCAGCTAGAAAAGTCAGTGCAACTAGAGGGGCTGCCTCGGTCCCTGAAGAAGTTTTCCACAGAGCCAAAGGAGTGCAGCTATGCAACATACAGGCATATCAGTGCACTCCTGCATTTTTTGCCGATTCATACCCACTCAACCAGTTTTCCTCAGAAGTCATCACTAGCCGGCTGCCAGTTCCACCATCTGCAAGGGTTATTTCCGAGAGACACATCATTTCAGTTGTGCCTGTAACCCGTGTCACAATGGCCCATCGCAAGAAAGCATTTAGCTTCTATGTTGTCGGCTACAGCAGGGATGTGTTCATAAGGGACTATCCTTCAAAGTTTTCCTGGGGCCTCTGTTGCTGCTTCGAGTGGCTAGGGAAATAGTTATTTCCTGGCACGAATAATGAATGTCTTCTTTCAGTGTGCAGTGTTTCATGGTAGAGAAGGTGGTGTGAAAGGGTTAAAATAAGCATGACAAATTGTTGTATTTTCTATTATAGAAGATATCTCTGCGTATTTCAGTATTAGAATCTGCATATTGGATTTCCTGGGTACAAGTACATCACTGTATATATTGTTCAGTGAAAAATAAAAATGGCGACGTTTGGCCATTGCAGATGTGATGTATAGTGTTTTGAAATGGTTTGTGATCAGTCTAGACATGTACAGTGTGGTATCATTTTCTTCACTATTAGCCCTGGATACGTTTGCTTTTTCTAGTAAATGCATATATTGTCGTTGAACATGTGCTTGTGTTGCTGGAAACAGTGCTGTTGTGATGATCAGGTATGCGTGAATACAGCATATAGATTCTTTATGAGTCAATGAGTGGAGTACTAGTCTGGGTGTTTGATGGATTATTTACACAATTTAGAACAATTTAGTGTAACAGCTCATGAACAGTGAGGCCCAATCGCACATTTGTAGGCACAAAGAGAAGGGGCCTCACTGTGTGGAGGTGATCGGAGCCCAATCTCAGTGGACGAGGAGCGGAGGTCGGCAAGGTCGTCGATCGGTGATGAAGATGGTGGCTGGGATTCAGTTTTGATGTCGATCGGTGATGACTGATGAAGATGGTGGCCGGGACTGGGCTTTGATTCACTGCGGCTGAGCTGCGTGCTTGTCTCCTCTGCCATTGGTACCCACGCAGCCACGCCTAGCCGTCCATATTGTTGGCCTCTAAGAACATCTCCAAGAAGTTCACTCTCTAGGTCATTATTTCGAGAGTCATTCATATAAAAACAACTTTCTATATCTTTTCACTTTCCAACGATTTTGTTATATCTCGTGTGCACTCTGAAGAGTCATTCTTGTTTTCTATCTTTGGCTAATGAGAAATTTAAAATAGAAGATAGCTATATTTAGATAATCAAATAAAGAAGTTGTTGGATAATATTTTTTTCATCAAAATCTATATTCTTAGCAATTAGAAATGATATAAAAAGTCTTGAAGTTGCCCCACGACATAGGAGGCCGCACTAGCGAAGCAAAATTTTTACTTGATGCACGTGTGCCACCAATGGTAGCAACACGCAGACATGCGTCCATGCAGGGACAAAAGACGATGCCGGTGTCGAGGAAAAAAATAGTGTGTGCCCACGAGGTTAGGGTTTGGACTGGAGCTTGGGGAACCTCTTATATCCTTCGAGCTTAGAAAGAAAGACCTAAGGCAATGGGTGGCCTGGCGATGGTGTTTGGAGGAGCGGTGAGCAAGAGGACCGAGTTTGTTTTGGTAATTGAGTAATATCTAGTAGACTAATATTTTCAATAAGTTGTGATTGAGCTAGGGCCCAGAGGAAGATGGTGAGTAAGGCTAGGAGATGATGGAGATGTTGATCAATCCATATGGAGCAAAGCTCGCACTTGGAGAAGAAGAGGGAGATGAAAATAAGCTCGAAGACAAAGGTATAAGCTAGGGATTTTTATTTCGCGAACCGAGATGTATTTTCTTCTTTAATGCTATAGCTATAGTTTGATATAGAATCCATTTCACAAAGTAAATGAAACCATTCTCTTATAAAAAATGGCTCAAAAATTTTTGTTCCACATTTTAGATTTAGGTATCATGAAAAGTGATACCTATGAAGATCGTGCATTTTAGTCATATTCATATCCATTTTTCAAGTCCATGATATAACCAAATTGGATGGATCTTTCACCCGTTTAGCTAAGAAAGAATAGATGCTGAGGTGGATAATAGATCAATATGGAGATCATGAGCTACCCCATAATGAAACCGCTAGTACTCGTGAATATCAGGGGAACTCTAAAGCGAAAACAGCTATCTAGAGCCACTAGGTTTGAGCTAACTTTATATATGCATTGGACCTAGTGACGTTGTGAGGAAGCAAGTAAAAATGCTTTCAAAAATGTTTTTTTATAAGCTAACTCAGTGCCTAAGGTGAAGGTGTTCATGTTGAAACACACATTAGAGTTAGCAAATTTGAAACGTTTGTGAGAAATAGGACATAGTGTAGCTTCATTGCACTCATCGGAAATGTCCGGTGCCCCTGCTGGGAAGGTCACCGGAATATACATGCATAGAGAGGGTATTGCCACCGGAATTGGGGTGGTTCACTGGAAGAAGCAGCCTGAGAAGCATTGTGCGGGATATTTGAACTTAGACACTAGAGCTCCAGTGGGTGTCAAGTGAAAATGCTTTCAAAAATGTTTTTTTATAAGCTAACTCTGTGCCTAAGGTGAAGGTGTTCATGTTGAAACACACATTAGAGTTAGCAAATTTGAAACGTTTGTGAGAAATAGGACATAGTGCAGCTTCATTGCACTCATCGGAAATGTCCGGTGCCCCTGCTGGGAAGGTCACCGGAATATACATTCATAGAGAGGGTATTGCCACCGGAATTGGGGTGGTTCATTGGAAGAAGCAGCCTGAGAAGCATTGTGCAGGATATTTGAACTTAGACACTAGAGCTCCAGTGGGTGTCCATCGGAGTTTTCCGGTGACCCCCTGGAACTCACGGTGTAGCCACCCGAGAGGGTCGAGGGCTCACCGAATTTATCTGGTGACCCTTATCGGAGAACATTGGAGCTTAACACATATAGCCATTTGAATCTCCGATGACTAGTTGACTCAGATCGAGGCTCTGAGGAGCCACTAAAATTGCCCGGTGGTGCCCTCAACAGCCACACCAGAGAAAGCGTGTCACACCCGGTTTTAAAAACAAATCGAATGCACATCACATGTATGCCAGGATCTGTTTATTCATACATGCGACGACAATATAGTGATACAAATCAGTGTTTATTACAAAAGTGATTACATATTACAAAATGACCGGAGGGTCTAAACAAAAATTACATCAAAGTTACAGTGAAGCAGGGTCTCCATCCCTGTAGGCAGCCGACCGGGGGTACACCAGCCTAGCATCGACATTGTCTTCAAGGCTACACCATCTTCTGGTCTGAACAATAGGGTGGGGTAGCAAGGGGGACAAAGAGGAAGGGTGAGTACATTGAAATGTACTCCACAAGTGTAGGAAAAGTATGACATGAGGGCCAACACAAGGAGAGGCTAACAAGGTTTGACACACACGCTTAAGCGACACATCCTATTTTTTCTTAAATCCTTAGCACCTAATTACTAGATAAATTCTTCCTTCTTCTCAAGAACTATTTGAACCAACACTCGGATCCCATCCGAGCCAACCAACCATTCCCTTACCAAGGGAACTACCCATCCTCAGCCACCAAGATCCACTAATCTCGAAGAAGTCCAAGCCCGCTCTTGACCATAAGCACGGCTGATATACCAGTTTTACACTCTACAGAGGTTGCACACTTTCACCATGAGTCATGTTTTCCCCATAATGCTTCACACTTCCTAGGTGCTTAGCGGGGTCTGAAAGGTCCTTGTTTGGTTTTGGTAATTGAGTGACAACCTAGGTGGACTAATGTGTTTAAATGTGAGATACGCAGGTGATTAGTTCACAGGTACATGTGTGTGAGCAACATATGTCATAGAGGTGAAGATGGCTTGGATTTGTTGCAAGGCTCACACATATGATAAAGGAGCTCATTGCATATGAGACATGACATTGAGTCATGTGACTAAGGTGGAGAAGATCAAGACAAGACTTGGCTTGATGGACCAGTTGCAAGCGTGAAGGGCAAGTTGGAGGCTTTGGAGCGATGGACCGCATGGCAGTGAAGCTTGAGCAAGACTTGGCACCGATGGACGAAGGCAACAGTGAAAATCAAGTGAGGTTAAGATCGATGAACCAACAAGGTCACGTGATGATATGAAGTGGATCATATCATTTGTGATATGGTTGGTGCATGTGTTGCATCAACATCGGAGGAGATGGAATGGAATGCACAAGGCAAAGATATAACCATAGGGCATTTCCTTTCACCGGCCAAAGGTTGTGTAGAGAAGTGCATGACCGGGTTTAGGATAGATGGCCGTACTATCAAGAGGGACAAACTTGTTTGCATATCGGTCATCTACTGCCACTTGAGCAGTCTAACTTTGCATACATGTTAGGATCGAGTGGCGTGGTGAAAAGAGTGCTAATCCTTTGGGAAATATTTGTGAAAAGCTAACATATGTGCACAAGGTGGTGTTTCACTTGGTGGTGTTAGCACATTTGCAAAGGAGATGAATTCGGAGTTGAAAAGGAGAAGAAAAGGGCAAGGTTTTGGTTGTTCGGGGGTCGAAAGTTGCAACCTAACTCGTAGCCAAATCGCAGCCATTGTAGAGGGTGGCACCGCCCTTTCCGCTAGGGCGGTGCCCAAGAACAGCAGCAGCACCCTTTCGTATTTCGAGCATAACTCCTAGCTCTGAACTTCGATTTCAATGATCTAGGACTTTTTGGAAAGCTAATGAAATTATCTACAAGCCTCATGTGGTGGATCTCAATTTGGAGCAAGTTATGGTCACCGGACTGTCCGGTGACCATGGTGGTGTGGCACCACCCCTTTTTTCCAGAGAGGGGGGAAACTTGTTGAGGGGCACCGCCACCCCTAGGACAGTGCACCGCCCCCCTATGTCTAGTGCCAAGGTCCCAACGGCTAGTTTAAAATAGCCATTGCAATTCGACCATTGGGCACCGCCACCCCTTGTCCGGTGCCCGCACGTTGCTGTCCGGTGACCACGCAGAAATGTACTACTTGGCTCCAACGGCTCTATTTGGCTTGGGACTATAAATAGAGGCAAAGCTTGGGCTTGGCTAAAGTTGAGCACCTTGGGGATGTGTTGCCCTTGTGTGTGCTTGGTTTAAGAAGCCTCTAACTCACTTGTGCTTGCGAGAAGTGCGAATCCATTGTGACTGAGTGATTCTAGTGCGTTTCATTGTGAGATTGCATCGAGTGGCACTAGGTGTTTAAGTTGCAAGCCAGTGGTGCTTGTTACTCTTGGAGGTTGC